CTAAAGAGGTGTCTCATCAGTATTTTCCCCCAAGCCTCTACAGCTCTTAGAGCAAAGGTTATGAAGAGCTCAAAAGAGGCTTGATTGAAGGGAACAGGGGAGAGGAATTTTCTGCTAATGAGAGACTCCTTGGTGCTTGCTAACTTTCCCTGAATTTTGACAACAGTAGGTGGGAGGAGGGGGGTGCAAGAATGTAGCCTGGAGAGTAGCTTATCTTGGTCCTGCTGAGCTGTTTGAATCAGAAGAGCTAAAAATTTGGGCTTTCATTACCAGGTGCTTCTCATAAATTGTGGAAGGCCACCGCACAGAGAAAAACAGGCCCGTTTCCTGTCCTTACAACAGGTACCTTTGCAATTTCACCAGGAGAAGAGTTGGAACTAAAGGGAAAAGGGGACATTTGCTTTCAACAACTATGAGTAATGAGTCTTCCTGACATGAACATGACAGTGGGCTCCGGTAGAGATGAGGAGGGAAGGGAATTTGAGGTCATCTGTGAAAGTGGTTTCCCTCACCAGGCACAGGGCACACGTCCACTGCAGGGATATAAGTCAGCTGCTCCGGGGCCACGCTGGCCTTCCTGGGTCCCAGGAAGCACTCCCAGTCACTCCTCACACTTGCCCCGATGTCATGCAGCAAGCCCTAAGGGAACCATAGACATAGGGCTGTTTCACACTGGGACCACCCCATCTTTTACCGAACATTTCTCCCCTGAGCACAGCGCTTTGTAAGAGAATTAAAGCAAGGGGATGTGTGCTCTTGCTCTCTGAGAGTTTCCACAGAGTCCTGGACAAGCTGGAATTGTTTCGGGCAGGGTCCCCACGGGAAGCAGGTGGCATGCCCACATTAGGGTAATTCACAGAGGGGTTATGCACTAATGTGTGGGAAGGTGCAGGGACCCAGCAGAGAGCATGCAGGAAGGAACCCAGAGTTTTAGCAGGGAAGCAGTTACTGCCCCTGAATCTGGCACAAAGGGAGGAAGTAGTAATGTGGAAGCTGAAGGGGAGAGTCATGGAGAGAAGGCCTCCTTGTGAGGAACTGGCACCTCAGGTTGCAGCCAGCGCCAGGTGACCCCACAGGGAGCCCAGGGGAACACTGTCCTGAGAAACGTGTCGCCTGTCAGTTTCCAACATCACAGAGGGCACTTACACAAACCAGATGGTAAAGCAACTGCACACCTAGGCCATAGGGTGGAGCCTATGGCTCCTACGCTACATACTGTACAACATGTTACTGCACAAAACAACACAGGATTAAATCAAGCACAAGAGAAAATGATGTCATCAAGGGATACAATAGCCATGAGATGTACGAGGCTGCTGCCAGCAAAACACTTCTACAGCCAACAGTTTCTCATAAGTAGAAAGAGTAGACTCTAAAATAACAGTGACAGCGGGATGGTGGGGGTGAGGGGAATGGGAAATGATTAATGGGAGAACTTATATGCATATATGCATAGCCCATGAACTCAGACAATAGAGCAGTGACGGCCTGGGAGGGGCGGATTCTGGGAGGAGGAGGTCAATTGGGAAAAAAACAAAGAGAATATCTGTAATACTTTCAACAATAAAAAGCCTATCTAATAAAAGAGTAATATTCAAATTAACCATCACTCCACAACAAAGATGGTGGCACCCATAGCTGCTGGGCAGGACACTGGCGGCGTCACCCCGGCAACATGAGCCCAGCAGAAAAGCAGGGCCACAGGCAACACCCAGCAGAGCCTGCTTGCCCATCCTGGTGGTATGGAGCAGGCAGGCCCCGCAGAGAGCAGATAACCACGGGGAGTGGGCCCAAGCCATCCGTATCACACCCACTGAGGGCTCCCGAATTGGAAAGGGTACAGGTCGGCCTGAGGGAATCTCCCCACCCCTGCACAATTTCATGCACCAGTCCTCAAGTAATTTAAATAAAATAACAATGAAATATGTAGAACAGTAAATACATAAACCAGTAGTATAGACATCCATTATCAAGTACTATGTACTGTGTGTAACGGCATGTACCATACTTTTATGCCACTGGCAGCCCAGTAGGTGGTTTCCACCAGCATCCCCCACAAACACATGAGTAATGTGTTGCCCTATGACCTTATGGCAGCTACAGTGTCCCTAGGCAATAGGAATTCTTCAGCTCCATTGTAAGATATGGGACCTCCTTTGTATATGTGGTCCCTGATTGACAGATACCTCGCTATGTAGCCTGTGACTCTAACAATGCTGGCCTTACTCTATTCCCTCCCTCCAGGTCCTTTTGGGGTCCTCATTGGACAAGACTAATGGAAAGCCAGAGGGCCAGGGATTCGGATGGGAGAACCCTTTAGGTCAGACTTCTGGGGAAGACATCAAGCTGGACATAATCACGCTCACCTCAGATAAGCCATTTGCACGTCAAACCTATGGTGCATGCAGAGGCTCACCTGGGCTCACTGCAGCCAGTCTGGTCGGTCGCCAGAGAGTAATGAGGGCCGCTGGCTGGTCTGTGGGAACTGTTTCTTCCCAGGAATCAGAATGTTGAGCAGTTGTTCTCAGTCTATGTAGTTCTTGGCAGGTAATCTACCTTTTCTCTTGCTGTTTCTCAGAGCGTCTCTTTATGTTTGATAAGGTGAAATTTTATTATGATGTGTCCAGATCAGAATTTCTTTTTATTTATTTTATTTGAGGCTCATGGGGCTTCTGGAATCTCTGGAATATCACATCATATCAGGTCACTTTTGAAAAATTCTTAGCGAATATCTTCTACCTCATTCCCTTTTCCTCCTTCTGAAACTTCCATGTTGGATCTTGCCATTTTGTTTTGTTAACCTGTCTGTGATATTTTCTATTTATTTTGTCTCTCCGGAGTGCAGTCTGTGTAGTTCTTCAGCTCCTTCCAGTACACCAGAGCTCTGCCTGAACCCAACCTGCTGCTCAGGATGTTCACTGAATATGGTTTTCATTGTTTCCCGTGTGTTCAGTGAGTGGGTGCACAATGTGCTTCTGTTTAAATCTACCTTGTCAGTGGATGGTCTCTTCTTCAGTCATAATTCTGATTTCCTCATTTCTTTCTTCAAAAGTGTAAGACATGTATGTTCTAGAAACACTGACTTCAATACCTGAAGCCTCTGTAGACCTGACTCCTCAGCAGGTTATCTCACCTAACGCTTACTTGTTGGGCCTGGTTTTCTTTTTATTTTTAAAAAATAATTATTTGGATTTTGAGGTCAGAGTTCTTGGAACATCGTTTGTAGGAATGCTCTCATACCTGGTGTTGGTGGTTTCTCTAAAAGGGATTTGTATTTGCCTTGGCGGGTACATGGGGGATGGGCTACTACCAGCCTGTGGTGTAGCCTCACTTTCTTGGTTTGGGATTTTGGGGGTCCATGCAGATAGGGCGAGTTTGATCTCCAACCTGGCATGGGAACTGTCTGCTATTACACATTCTTTTTTTTTCTTTCTTTTTTTTTTTTAAAAAATATATTTTATTGATTTTTTACAGAGAGGAAGGGAGAGAGATAGAGAGTTAGAAACATTGATGAGAGAGAAACATCAAACAGCTGCCTCCTGCACATCTCCCACTGGGGATATGCCCGCAACCAAGGCACATGCCCTTGACCGGAATCGAACCTGGGACCTTTCAGTCCGCAGGCCGACGCTCCATCCACTGAGCCAAACCGGTTTTGGCTATTACACATTCTTAATAGAAATGTTTGTTAAAATCAAACTTCTAGGTCCCAGCGGCTGTCTTTAGAGCAGCCTGTGGCTTCGGTGCACAGTTTCCTCTGCATTTTGCACTCTGTACGTTTGCATGCATGGATTTTCCTTTTCCCCTTCTCAGTTGTTGTTGTTTTAATCCTCACCGGAGGATATGCTTTTACTGGTTTTAGAGACAGAGGAAGGGAGAGAGAGAGAAACATCGATGTGAGAGCCAAACACGGATCAGTTGCCGCCAGTATGAGCACCAACCAGGGACAGAACCTGCAACCCAGGAATGTTCCCTGACCGGAAATCAAACCTGCAACCTTTTGGGTCACAGGACAACACTCTAAGGAACTGAGCCACCTGGCTGGGCATTCTCTTATCAGTTTTAACTCTTCATTTTGAAAAATCTTCTAATAATTTTTCATCTAGCTTTCATAGTTAGGTTAAGCATAGATTTTTACACTTGTTTTCTGTAATATGCCCAGAGACTTTCAGTCTGAAAAAAGAAATCTGATAGCAGTTTTTGTTTTAAACTTTGTGCCGGGTACTGTCTAACTACAGAATGAATTATTTTATTTAATCCTCAAAACAATCATATCAGGAAGCAATGATCAATCTCACACTTTATAGAGGGGCAATGAGGCTCTGAGAGAATAAATAAGCTGCCCAGAATGGCATGGTTATTAATTGATGAAGCCACAGTGAACACAGCTGTCTTAAAGCGTTGGAGACTCTAGTAAATGGTAGCAGATCTCTTCATCCCTAAGCACTTAACCAAGTTGTTTGTTTTTTCTTAACCAAAGTCAAACCTAAAGTGGCAAATCTCCATCTGAGTTCAAACAGGAAAACAGCCATTACAGGTCTTACAGGGGTGTGGGAGGTACTATTAACCTCAGAGCTCACAGAATGGGAGCGGAGTTGCGGGAGGGGAGGTCTGCATGTAGAGCTGGAGGACCAGAGAAACTGTCACCCATGGGCGAACACCCAGTGTTCATCTGTGTTGCTGTGTAACAGAACATTGAATAAGTGACTCACACTTTATGTTATTCCTTCCACTTGTCATGGCCTTTGGTTTGTTTTCAGGGTGTGGAAATTATAAACAATGTTGCTTTCAGTTTTCTTTTATGCTCCTGTATCTCTCAAAGGTATTCATCTAGGAGTGCTCTGTGCCCTGGGAGGTAGCTCTCTCTGTGTTACTTTATGGTATGAACTATGTACCCCAGTGCTCCCCCAGGTTCTGGAAAACTGGGAGCATTAGAGCATTTATATCTTACCCCATTGTATGCCATAAGCGTCTGCTGATTGGCCCACATTCAGGGTGACATGGAGGCTGCCAGCTCTGAGTGGGACTGGGACCTGGCAGGACACGGCAGCAGATCCACATCCCGGTGCAGTCAGCCTCCATCCAGCAGCCCCCTCAGCGCTGGGGTCAGTGGTGGGAAAGACGCTGTGGAGCTGAGCCAGGCACCAGTGGAGCAGCACAGAGCTGGCCCCGGGGGTTCTGGGTGAGGCCCCACCATCCAGAGCAGACACACACTTCCTGGGTGGGAAGGAGAGTTGAGGAGCTTTATAACTCTGGCTGCAGGGCTGTTTAGACACTTTGCATATGAAGCCTCTGAAATCACTCATTTTACAGATTAGCTTCCTGATGCTCAGGCTTCCCAAGACTGTGGTCCCCCTGCCCTTCACTGGTCTTTTCAGGCCCAACTCCTCCAGGATTACAGAGGAGACCCTGTCCTCCGCCTCCTCTCACAGGGAGCTCGCTCTCTGGCATCAAGGTCCCAGGGTGAGTTTTCCTCTAGAAGAGTCCAGGGCAGAGGTGAGGGTGGGAGGCAGAGAGCATTCCAGGAGGAGAAGGGGAGGAAAGGGCTGGTCCCAGCCTGGGGAGTCTCCCTGGTTCTCACACAGCCCCTGAGCAGGACTGAGGGAGAGGGTGTGACAGAGCTCTCCGTGCAGGGGAGGGGTCAGGGCAAAGTCCCAGGCAACGCAGACGCCAATCAGGATCACCTTTGTCCCCAGTTAGAAGTCTCTGCGGACTCACCAGGACTCAGACTCCCCAGACCTGGAGGATGCTGCTCACGGGGTCCCCAGCCCTCCTCCTGCCGCTCTGGGGGCCCCTGGCCCTGGCCCAGACCTGGGCGGGTGAGTGCGGGGTCGGGAGGGAATGACCTCTGGGGAGGAGAAGCGAGGGCACCCGGCGGGGGCGTAGGACCCCGGAGAAGGGCGTCTCCACCCCCACCCGCGCCCATACCCCAGACCCCACCCCGTCCTGACCCCTCTCTTCTCAGTCCTGTCCCCCTTTTCCGGCCCCCCAGGCCCCCACTCCCTGAGGTATTTCTACACCGCGGTGTCCCGGCCGTACCAGCTAAGGCCCCGCTTCATCATCTTGGGCTACGTGGACGACACGCAATTCGAGCGGTTCGACAGCGACTCCGAGAGTCAGAGGGTGGAGCCGCGGGCGCCTTGGATGGAACTGGAGGAGCCGGGCTACTGGGACAGGAGCAGGAGGAACGCCAGGGACTCCGCACAGACTTTCCGAAGGAACCTGCACACCCTGAGCGGCTACTACAACCACAGCGAGGAAGGTGAGCCAGGGGCCCCGGGGCCGGTCACCATCCCCATCCCCACTGAAGCCCCGAGTGTCCGGGTGGGAGCTTCACCCCGAGACTGCGGGCCCCGCGTGGCCCCAGCTCTGCCCCCACCCGGGAGGAGCCCGGGGGGGATTTGACCAGGTTTTACTATCATTTTCTGTTTAATCCCCGTGGGCGAGGCGGGGGGCGGGGCTCAGGGGACGGGACTGACCTCGGGGCGGGTCAGGGTCTCACACGCTACAGTTGATGTTGGGCTGTGACATGGGACCGGACGGCCGCCTCCTCCGCGGGTATCACCAGTACGCTTACGATGGCACCGACTACATCGCCCTGAACGAGGACCTTCGCTCCTGGACCGCGGCCAGCACCCCGGCTCAGATTACCCAACGCAAGTGGGAGGAAACTGGTGAGGCTGAGGAAAGGAGACACTACCTTCAGGACGACTGCCTGGAGTTGCTCATCAGATTCCTGGAGATGGGGAAGGAGGTGCTGCAGCGCGCAGGTACCAGGGGCCTGGGGCCTCCCTCCTCTCCCCTGGGGTTGAGGGTCCTGCAAGGAGAAGGGAATGGGATGAGTCAGAACACCCCTCCTTTTGCCCGGAGTTTAAGTCCGCCTGGGTTTTCAGATCAAAACTCAGAAAGTGACGCCCACTCTTCTCTCAGGGACACCTAGGGGTGCAGTCTCTCAGGGACAATTAGAGGGGAGACCAAGCCTGAAGGAACTGAGCAGCGGTTCCCATTGACCCTTCAGGGGCTCTGGGACCCAAGGGGGACTTGCTCTCTCAGGCCCTGCTCCCTGCCCCTCCCCCAGTGTATCTGAGGTCTGACCCCGACTTTTCTGAGTCCTTTGGCCTCCACCCAGGACAGGACCAGAAATCCCTTCCTCCCCTTGAGACCTGCCTCCCACCCTGGCTGTGTCACTCTGACTAGAACTTTCTAAGGAGGATGACCTCTGTCCAGGCTGGTGGTGCTTGTGTGCTCCCTCGCCAACCCAAGGTGCCCTGTCCACACTCAGGTGGTCACATGAGGGCTGCTGGAGGGTCCCCTGACAGTGCCAAGTCCCTGAATTTCCTCACCCTTCTCCTCAGACCCTCCAAAGACACACGTGACCCACCACCCCATCTCTGACCGTGAGGTCACCCTGAGGTGCTGGGCCCTGGGCTTCTACCCTGCGGACATCAGCCTGAGCTGGCAGCGTGATGGGGAGGAGCAGACCCAGGACATGGAGCTGGTGGAGACCAGGCCTGCGGGGGATGGGACCTTCCAGAAGTGGGCGGCCCTGGTGGTGCCCCCTGGAGAGGAGCAGAGATACACGTGCCATGTGCAACACGAAGGGCTGCCCGAGCCCCTGACCCTGAGATGGGGTGAGGAGGGGCGTGGGCACAGAGCCTGTTCTCAGGAAAGAAGGGGCCTGTGGAGGACTTCAGTGGGGTTGGGGCTGAGGCCTGGGGGTCAGGGCCCTCACCTCCCCTTCCCTTCCCAGAGCCACCTCTTTGGGCCACCTTCCCCCCTGTGGGCCTGGTTGTGGGCCTGGTCATCCTTGGAGCTGTGGTCACTGGAGCTGTGGTCACTAGAGCTGTGATGTGGAGGAGGAAGTGCTCAGGTAGGGAAGGGGTGGAGCCTGAGTTTCTTGTCTCACTGAGGGTTCCCAGCCCAGGTAGAAGTGTGTTCTGCTTCATTAATGGCAAGTACCATCCCCACACGTGTGGTTGCCCAGTGTGGGGCCCTATTTGCTGACACTCACTCTTTAGTAAGACACGTGTGGAAATGAGGGACAGATTCATCACCTGATGATTCTAGTGATGGGGCCTGGTTCCCAGCACTCCCAGGTCAGGGAGGAAGGTCCCTGCTGAGGACAGACCTCCGGAGGGTGGTTGGTCCAGTCCCCACAAGTGTGGTTTCCTCAGGTTTCCTGATCCTGCCCTGGGTCTGTAGTCACAGTTCTGGAAACTTCTCTGGGCTCCCGGACTAGGAGTTCCTTTAGGAGCTCATGGCCCTGGGTCCTCCCTGTCTTCTCACGGGATGTTTTCTTCCCACAGGTGGAAAAGGAGGGAGCTATGCTCAGGCTGCCAGTGAGTATGGAGGGTGACCCCTGAGATCCTGTGATAGTACAGACTGGATCCCATGGGAACCTCACCCCCATAGTTCCTCCCTTAGTCTCCTCTCCTGGGGGCTCTGACTCCGTCCTGTTTTGTTCTACCCCAGGCAGCGATGGTGCCCAGGGCTCTGATGTATCTCTCTCGGCTTCTGAAGGTGAGACTCTGATGATAGCAGGGGTTGGGGCGAAAGGGACAGGACTGGGTGATGGGGATTCTTTGGGACATAGTGAGCCTGCGGAGGGCTGTTGAGAAGGTCACTGCTTACAGCCACTGAACTGAGTTTGTTCATGATCATTTTCTTCCACAGCCTGAGGCACTTGTCCGGGACTGAGTGATGGGAGATTTGTTCACGCTCCCACTTTGTGATTCAAGAACCTCTGATTTCTTTCTGCAAAGGGCATCTGAGTGTGTGTGTTCCTATCAGCATAATGTGAGGAGGTGGGAGGCTGGCCCACCCCTGCCCACCACACCCCCTCCTCAGCCTTTCCTGTCCAGTAGAGGCAGGGCTGGGCCCTCCCCATTCCTGTTTTTACTTCCTGGTGCACTCAGCTGCAGCTTCTTACTGCCTGATTGAAATAAGAGTCTGGATATGCATTCTTCTTCACTTCTTGCCATGAAGGGGTGACGGGTTCCTTAAAGGAGAACAGCCCGGCTGGTGTGCCTCAGTGGCTGAGTGTCCACCCAGGAACCAGGAGGTCATGGTTGGATTCCCTTTCAGGGCATATGCCCAGACTTCAGCTCAGTTCCCACCAGGGTCATGCATGTGAAGCCAATGGATGTTTCTCTTTCATCATTGATGTTTCAATCCGTCTCTCCCTCTTCTTTCCTCTCTCTTTGAAAATTAATAAAAACATATTTTTGAAAAAAATTAAAGGAGAAGATCCTAAAATTTCAGAGGAAATAAATGGAAGCCCCAAGAACTGGTCAGGACCTGTGTGTTTGCTGTGCTGAGGCTGTTGCAGGGGGGACAGGAGAGGCTGTGAGGACCGAGTGTGGTCAGGGCTGTGCCCAGTTGGCTCCCTGGTCTCTCTTCAGCTGGGTCACCTCTCTGCTCCTTTGTTCTTCTCACCTCAGGAGAACCTTGTCCCACCAGGACTTTCCATAACAGGGACTCAAACCTCCCCAGGCCTTGTAAATTGTCCTAATGAGGAACATCTCCAGACCCGTGGGCAGCAAGGCCTTCCTGTGTCCGGGTCAGCCTAGGCTCAGGCCTGGGTCCTGCCCTCATCCCTTATCTTCTTGGACTGTATTTGTTGTTTCTTTGTTTGTGTAGAGCAGTGGTTCTCAACCTTCTTGCCCTTTAAATACAGTTCCTTATGTTGTGACCCAACCATAAAATTATTTTCGTTGCTACTTCATAACTGTAATGTTCCTATTGTTATGAATCCTAATGTAAATATCTGATATACAGGATGGCCTTAGGCGACACCTGTGAAAGGGTCGTCCGACTGCTAAAGGGGTTGCAACCCACAGGTTGAGAACCACTGGTGTAGAGTATTGTGCCTGTTTGTGTTCTTGTTATGAGTTTTGGTCTCATTCTTCTTTTGAGTGTCCCCTATCCAACATCAGCAGAGATGAGTTGTCTGTCATTGTGCCCACAAGGCTCAGGGGTCCCTGCACAGAAGAGTCAATGGTATGGAGAGATGAATTTTCAGTCTCATCCTGCTCTTGGCTCCTTCTAGGAATTGATTGTTCTTTCTATCTTTTCCTAAACTCTCCAAGGAACCAGGTTCTGGAATTAGCAGGGAGGAGGGGTCCTGTAATTGGTCATCTTAGATAAGTTCCTGTTGGAATTCTGCTCTGCTCGCCCACCCTCTCTCCCTGCCCTTCCCTCTAGTGCTGGCTGCAGTGGGAACCCTGGGATTTCTGAAGCAGAGTCTCCTGTAGATTCAGGGAGAGCCGCTCTGTGGGAAGAGCAGGTGCCCTGATGTCAATGTGAGAGCTGGCTGTGCTGTAGCTGCCACAGGACAGCTGTGGTCTGAGGCCACGTTAATGAAGACGTGTCACTAGCACAGTGAGGTGCTCTACACTGACCATTTCATGAACCAGTATTAGTTGTGAGCCAGATGTGTGACAGTGTTTCCGCATGTGGGGACCATTGAAAGGACAATCAGAAAAGCTGCTTTCTGTGGGACATACGTTGTGTTGGGAAGAAACAGAGTGAAATGAAAAAAGCACCGTAAACAAGGAAAGGCGTCTGTGTGACAAGGGGTAACTGTTCTGAGGAAAAAAGTTTTGGGGAAGGCAATCCCAAGTGTGCTGTGGGGGAACACAGACCCATGGGTGTTTTTGTTTTGTTTTTAATATATACACTGAGTGGCCCAGATTAGTATGACCACCCCCTAATTTGCCTACAAAATTTGTGCATTGGGGGAATGGAGGGTGTCCCCTCAGGCCAGCCTGCACCCTCTCTAATCTGGGACCCCTCGGGGGATGTCTGACTGCCGGTTTTAGGCCTGATCCCTAAACCCAGCAGTTGGACATCCCTCTCACAATTCCAGGACTGCTGGCTCCCAACCACTCACCTGCCTGCCAGCCTGATCACCCCCTAAGCACTCCCCTGTCCGCCTGGTAGATGCCTAACTGCTCCGCTGCCGGCCCGATTGCCCCCAACTGCCCTCTCCTGCTGGCCTGGTCACACCCAACTGTCCTCCCTGCCTACAAACGTAAGGTGATCATAATAATTTGGCCACTCAGTGTGTGTGTGTGTGTGTGTGTGTGTGTGTGTGTGTGTGTGTATTATTGATTTCAGAGAGAAAGGGAGAGGGAGAGAGAGAGAGAAATATCAATGATGGGAGAGAATCATTGACCGGCTGTCTCCTGCAGGTCCCCTGCTGGGGATTGAGCCCACAACCCTGGCATGTGCCCTTGACCAGAATCCAACTCAGGACTCTTCAGTCTGCAGGCCATCGCTCTATCCACAGAGCTAAACCAGCTAGGGCGTGTCTGTTTGATTTGGGTGGCCAGTCAGTGGGGGCCTCCCTGGGAAGGTGACCTTGAGGAAAGCATTGAAGGACATGTGGCATTATCCCTGAGGATGTAGGAAGGAAGTCCTTTCCAGCAATGGCACCTCCAGTGGGAATGGCCTGGGACAGGAGTGTGTCTGGTTTAAGAGGGAGGAGGCCAGTGTGGGAATGGAGCAGAGAGTAATGGAGATGAGATAAAGACAAGGCCAGACCTCCTGGGCCTGGAGGATGGAAGAGGCCGGGGACTGTGCTGAGTGAGGAAAGAGCCACAGGAGAGTTTAGAGCAGGAGAGGCCTGGCCTGATTCCCTCTTTAAAGGATCACTGTGTCTGCTGAGCTGAGAACACGTGGGAGGTGAAGGGGCAGTGGGGAGGCTGGGAGGGGCTCCAGGCTGGAGAGGCTTCCAGGGGCTGAGGAGTGGAAATAGTGGGCATGCTGGGATTCTGGTTCCTTCTGAAGATGGACTTTAGAGCGAGCCTAAGGGTTAATCTGGGGCATTCGAGAGAGGAATCAAGGTCACCAAAAATCTCAGAGGATATAAGTAGAGAGACAGAGTTCCCATTAGCAGAGATGGGGAGACTCTGGAGCAGCCTATTTGAGGGGCATCACAGCCCTTCATTTTAAGAGATGCTGGAGCTGAGTGTCTGTCAGCAACACACGGGAGTCGTCGGATTGGCAGTTGGACAGATGAGTCTGGAGATCAGGAGAGATGTTGGTTGGAGAAACAGAGTTGGGAGGCCACACAGGTAAATAATATTTAAAGCCTTGAGAACGGACAAGGTCACCAAAGGACTGATGGCTACAGGAGACCAAGGGAGCAGAACTGAACCCAGGACCCAGTGCTGAGCCGTCTGTTCAGACCACACACCAGAGCCGACTGCACTGTTCCGTCTCCGGGTCTAGAAGGCACAGGGACCATGGAGCCCCCAACGTTCCTGGGCTCAGGAACAACCTGGACCTCTTGTTGGCTCAGGACGTCTGGAGCAGAGTGTGAGAGGCTGGCTCTATCCCAAGGTGCTGATGCTGCTGGTCTTCACATCCCACATTGAGCAGCGAGAACCCAGACCAGGATCCCCGTGTCTGTGTCGGCCTCGCCTGCAGGGTGTTACACAGGTGGTTCCTGTCTGTGCCTAATTCTCTGGGTCTGTGGGTCTGGGAGAGGCTGGGGGTTTTGTAAGAAGCTCACAAGCAATCCTGGGGCTCAGCCAGCCTGGGAACCACTGAGGCCAGTGCCAGAGCTCAGGGTGGGGAGGGGTTTTACATCCACATTTAAAGGTTTTCATTTTTCCTCAGAAAGAGAAGGGAGGGCATTCATCACCAGTTATGAGACATGATGTTGGGAGTTACGTGTCATTCTCTCTGCCATGGGGTAGAGTCAGGTGGAAGAGTTAGGACATGGGCCCTGGGTCCCAATAATAACATCTCTGAAGGCTGCTCTCTGAAACTGTTCCCCAGATACAGTCCTTGGAGCAAACAATGGAATCACAAGGGACCACTGAAGGCCAGGATGGCCTGCTGCTCGGGGCTGGGCTCAGACTTGGCAGGGGCACTGGCCCAGTTAATGGGACCCTGGAAACCCCAGGACTTTGGGACCAGGGCTCATCCCTACAGGGGCAGCCCAGCCCTTTGCTGTCTGTGACCCGGAGGACCCCTTCTAAACACCAGCAGGGGAACCATGGCACACCCTCCCCTGCTGTTCTCCTCCCTGAAACCTCTACCCCTCTGTGTGCTGACTCTCCCCATCCTGACCTCCTCAGGGGCATCCTTGCCTTCCCAGGCCTGACACCCCAGCCCCACCCCAGCCCAAGCTCTGAGACAAGTGGCACTAGTTCCCAGGAGGAAGGTGCTCTAGCTCCAGAGGCAGCAGCGGGAACAGGGGACAGGTTCTTGTGTGTCCAAGGTCCCAACAGGGAGACTAAGGACTCCTGGTTTGATTGTGGGGTGCAGCTGGACCTGGGAGCCAGCGGTGATGGCCCAGGAGACCTCGCTCTTTCCTGAGGCAGCGTCCACGGTGACTCAATGCGGAGGAAGCATCCACATCAGTGTGCATTTGGAGAAACACTTTGCACCCCGAATTTGACATAAGACAGGGCCCCCCTTCTGTGTTCAAAGCCCTGTTCTGGTGCTGGGAGCAGAGGGACACCCTGGGAGGTCCTGGCTGAGCAGCAGAAAGGGGAGCTGGCTCTTCTGTCCTCAGCCCTGTGGCCACACGGGGGCGCCGCCGCGCTGTTCCCGAGGCTGCCTGAGCCCTGGCAGGGGCTGTGCTGTGAGTGGGTCAGAGGGAGCTGATTTGAAGGCAGGGCATCCGCGTGGAG